GCAGCGCCTGCTAGGGGCACAACATCCTTTCGTGCTAGGTGTAATGACTCTGCCCGCTTTGTTTATTTATCGTGCCACTTGCCTTTAATGAGTAATACTGCGTCTCACCAAATATCAGCAAAACTTATGGTTTTTTCGTTTTTTTTGAAGATAGTAAGATTCCGTAAGGGCAAATACAGGTAGCTGACACATAATTGCTCTTCAGACGAGGCAAATGCCGCTGGACGGGACGAATATACTGGAAGAACTGACTGGAATGAGCGAGGAATCACCGGGCTACTTAGGGCGAAAGCGACCGATCATCTTCTACTGCAACACGAAACTGATGGCGATTCGAATGGGCAACATCAAGGCAAGACACCAATCTTTAGGATTTTCTCGATACGGAGGAAATATTTCATTGAAAAAGACCTACAAGTTATACAAAGATATTTAAAGAAGAAGCTGGAATAGAGTCTCGGAATTTTGAAGAAGACGAGGGGTAAATGGGAACAGTATTTGAAGTAGATGGGTCATAAACAAAGAACAAAAAAGGCGAAGAACTTGTAGATGTTTCTCGCGAAATATGCTTCTATACAAAGTAATTTCCAGTTCTATTGATTGTTATTGGTTATGGTTTCAGATTCACTATCGAACGTCTCCTATATTCTTCAACGATACGATGGATCCTAATCTTCCATACTTCTGTCCAGATGGGAAACCTCGAGCGGACTGGTTAGTGAATCTGATTTTATTGAGATTATTCCAGCAGCATTTGAATCCACAGCAGTGTAGCACAGCGTAGGGAATCGAAGGCAAATTTCGGTTGTTAGAGCTCAACCAATAAACTGCTTCATTGGCGCGCTACCCCCTGTACACTCACCGTTGTGGAAAGTGGTTCTTGCCGTGTGCGAGATCGGATCCGCGCCCGCAGCTGCAGTTTCGTGCCACTTCAGGCGGTCAAAGGCGCATAAGGACCGGGCTGAAAGGCGACGATGCCCGGGCGCCCTCCTGAGCCTAGCTAGGCCCACTTTACGAGCGTGAAGTGTGCCTTCAAGCAGGTCTTAAGAAAACGAGCTCTGCAGAAATGTTGATTACAGGCGAGGTGTCTTGTATCCGAAGGCTCTTCT